GTTTCCAGGCTCTGGGGGCCCCCCGGTCTCCACTCGGAGTTCGGGCCACGGGAAAAGGAGATTCTCGGGCGAGGGCAATGCTGGGCGAATATGGTTCTTTCCGGGGTGGAGGCGCACATTCGGCGATTTGTCCGCGTAGAGGTCGCAAGACAGCGAGCGCGGGCCCTTTTTTCAGCTCGCTGCGCGCAGTGGCGCGCCATCTGGTTTCTCTCTGAAGCCGGCGCCTGCACCTGTCGTGCATCGCTGTCCTTTTTGCCCCGCCCGTCTGCGTCGCCCAAGCGTGCCGCCGCGAAGCGGCTCATTGCCCGTCTCCATCACCAGCGGCGCTCTGCGGCGGCTAGATATGTCCACGGCATCGCGCGCCCTATCTGCCCGCTGAGGTTCAGCCCTGTGGAATTCAGTATGACCATCTTGCTCATGGGAACCCTAATCGCGATATTGCGGCCTTTCCCCACTTGGCCCCGGAGGCCCCTGAAGCGCTCGAGGTGGCGCGGGCCCTCGAGGCTAATGAGCGTCGACAGGCTCGGAAGACAGGGGCCGTCAGACGGGGGGCGTGACCTCCTGATCATCGGGCACCAGGGCCTCGCCACGTTGCCCAACAGCCTCATCAACCCGATATTGATGTCTGGCAAAATGCACGCACTGGGACGCCCCCGAGCCCCTGTGCGAGGCTCAAGAGGAGGCCCCCAACGACGAGGCCCCCCTAGAGGATGAGCATAAATTTTGAACCACTTGCCGTTGATGGATGATCCTGCTGCTTCAATATGCCGCGCCTGCGTTGTTGCATTTGCTTTGAGGAGCTAGGCGGACAGGTGATGTCCAGGAAGAACTCGAGCGGGCGCTTGCGATTGGCCCTGCGACCATCCTTTTTTGCGACGTGGCTTGCGACCCATTGAATGGTGATTTGAGCTGATATGTTGCAGGAGTGGGGCTCGCTCCTGAGGTCAGATCGCACGATTGGCCTCATAGGAAGCCCTCTGTGTGAGACGTGGTCTGCTGCGAGGTGGTAAGGGGCTACGAGTTGCCCATCGGCGTCGCCCTCCTGCCACCCTGATGCCAGCAATCGACAACATATGCAGCTACCCATTGGACCACAGCTCCTGCCCAGCCAGCCTTCTCTGACGCCGACCTGCCCCGAGCTGAGTGCGCGCGCGTTGAAGGAACACGCCGAAAAGGAGAGAACCCCTGGCCCGTGGCAGAGCGCCACTTCGCACGCCCTGGGCGCGCCCCCATCCATCCAGGATTGCGTCGTTTGACCTGTGCATACTTGGGCAGGCCAGCAAAGCCCCAACTACGCTCTTGTGCATCCATGTGAACTCGATCGCAGAGGAAATCCCACGCTTGGACATGAGGGGCACATGTGATCACCCCGAGAAGTCCCACGCCATTTTGCTCAATATCGACCCCGACACAGGAAAATTGAGGGCAGCTCCCAGGAAAAGGAATCCTCAGGACCTTTGCCGACACGGGCCGCGCAGCGTCGGTCGGCATTTGAGGATACAGCGCATCGGCCACGCGAGGCTGATGCGTTAGCCCCAATGATATTCTTGAAGGCCCGGGCATTGTTCCAGGCTCTTGACCCCCGCGCGGCTGCGGCGCCCGAGACAGACATTGCACCCGAGAGTCGACCTCACCATCGCAGGATTGAATGTCATGCGACGCATTTTCTCCCGCGTGGATCATCCCGAGCACTTCTTGTCTGCAGTGTCCTGAAAATGTCCGGTTTGAGGTCGCACCAGTGTTCGAGAAAACCATCGCGCACGCAGGTGTTAACGATTTGGAGCGAGTCCAGACTTCGTTGGATAAGCCCGGCGGCAATGCCGAAGTGTTGACTGACGTGAACTCATTTTTCAAGAATGAGGAATCATGGGGCAAGTTTCGCAGCACTGGTTTTGATGAGATCTGGCCGCGCGTGCTTCGCGACATTCGACATCGCACGAGCACGCGCACACAGCGTGCTGCAGAAGTAAAATAGCGCACGTGCCAGGCGCGGCTTGCGGACGGCACCACGCGCGGTAAGCTTTTTCGTCGGGGAACGCGCTGCAACAGCATCGTCGTCACGCGATGGCCTTGCGTGGGCCGTGCTAACGTGTTCATCGCGCATCTGGTTGTCGCGAGAGTTTGCCCTCGGCGCTCCACCTCGCTCGCTTCTGCGAAGTCAGCCAAAACACCTACTGGTCGCCTTCGACAGTGGGCGGGGCAAGCCTGACGTGAACATTATTCTTGTGCCTGCGCATGCTGTCGAGAAACTTGCTTGCCCCATCTGTCAAGACACCGTGAGCGACGCCCCCCATTAGCAGCGGCATCTCCGGTCGCGCATTTGCGGCCCAGCTCCATCATTCCGCCCCGCGAACCCAACCGTCCGACCGGAGCCCGCCGATGGAGCTCGACTGGACCGGGGCCCGCGGCGCGGAGGGCGGGGGGCCCGGGGGGGGCGCAAAAGAGGAAGACGCGGCGAGGCGCCAGCTGCGTCCGCGGACGGAGCGGACCAGCTACCCACGGGAAAGAAATGTCGGAGTTGCGGCATATCGCCGTGGTTCTCAGCGAGCTCTCGCTCAGCAGCGCTTTCCAGCAGCGCGTCTTGCGCGCGGTCCGCCTGCGCGCGGGACCCATGGGCGCGTCCGCCCCGCCAATGGGGGCCATGAAGACGGCCGCGAAGACCTCGCAGGAAAAAGCCGGCGACGTGGACAAGGTGGAGAGGGAGCAGAAGCACGGCCTCGTCCACGCCGGCGCGCTTGGAACGGCTTGCTGACGCGTTCCCGAAGAACGGGCACGGACGGGGCAGACAAGACGGCAATCGAGGACGACCTGGCCCATTGCCGGACAGAAAGCGGGATCCACCACGTGCAGAATCGAATTCGAGCGTGCCGGGTTGCCGAGGCAACCAGGGGGGCTGCAAGGTGGAGCTCGGGTTCAAGGTCCCAGACAGCAATCACGAGCACATCTTCGACAGGGTGGTGGCTTCGATGCGAGCCAACCACAGGCGAGGCCCCTGGCGGGCCAGGCGCCGCCGGGCCAGTTAGAGGATCTCGCCCAGCAGTACATGGACAAGAACATGCGAGATAAGAAGGAGATCTAGACACCAGCAGCCGGCTGGACCGGCGCCAGGAGTATGGAGAGATCCCCACCCCTTTCAGTTCACCAGCGCCTGCCAGGGGGCAGCCGCAGCCGGGCCTTCGCCATGCCTCTCATGGGACGAGTTGCGCATTGGCGCGCGTTTCATAGACCTGGGAGAGATACCGGCTTGAGCGCTGCCGCCAGCCTGTTCCCGCCTTCCTCTCTCCTTCTCCTCCCTGCTCCTCCTGCCCTGCGCGATTCCCGAAGCCCCCCGTTGGCGGTTGGGCGTCTCGCCTGGCGTCTTCCCATCGGGGGTCGGGTGATTGCGTCTCTCTGCATGCGGTTTCTCCCTCCGCCCCGCTCCTGCCATCCAGCGCGCCGTACCTGTTTCCATAATTCCATATGGTACATGTATCTATTGAATTGAAAGTGCACTCTCTCAGGAGACCTGTGGCACCATATAGCAGGCCGCGTATGGTGTCTGAGTGGGGGCGCGGGGCTGCTCTCATCCCGTCGCGACTTCCCACTGTCAGATCTTGCCGTGTGGTCGCCGTTGCACAGCGCCAGCGAAGCGGCCGGCAAGGTCGATGGTTTCTGCGCGCGTTCCAGCTAAGATCCGGTGTAGCATCAGGGACACAACGCGCCACGGAGTTAGGGAGTAGTGAGTGTGGTGATGGGTGTGACTGCGATGGTAACTTTGCGTGAAAGATGGTGACGATGGTGATGATGAGAACTGTACGATGCTGATGATGATGATGATGATGATGATGATGATGATGATGATGATGGTGTGATGGCGCTGAGGAGCCCAGGGGATGTGGGGAGAGGTCTGCTCGAGAAACCCCGCTTCGGATGCGGGGGGCACAAAAACTCCACTTTTAGAATATGGGGAAAAGGGGTTTTGGAGGTCTGGGAACAAAGACGCCGACACTTGAAAATGCCTCGCGTACTCTCCCGTTGATGTGTGAGGATGTGTCCACCTTTAGATTGTGGCATCCGAAACAAACATGGCGAGCGCTTCTGCCCCGCCTCACCCCATGGGCCTGAATGATCCGACGCGAAGTGCCTCGTAGAAGGACGGGGTCGACACGTCCAGGCGGATTCTCGTCAGGACACTGCGTGCTTTCACGACGTCGGATCTCGGGGTTCCCCCGAGAGGCAGGTTGGCGTGGGGATAGCCAACCAGCGACTTGGGAGCGGTGACTTTTCGTGCCGCCCTGGGTCCTGCGACCCTCGGACGTGCACGGAGATCCTTGGACGTCCCCGGGGGCCGCCAGAGGCTTCTGGAGGCCCCGGAAGAGCCCCAGACGCCACAGATCCTCGATCTTCGATCGCCGCGCGCGAAGCTTAGCAGTTGGAGGAACCACGCTTGCGTGTGCCACTCCGCCGAGGAGCACAAGACCATCCTGTGTGAACGCAACGTTGTGGTTTCAATGGGCGCACCAACCCTCAGACCTGGCGCTGCGAGCCAAAATGCAACATCGCGAAAAATCACGACCCGAGCGCTGGACCCTATCTGTCTGCGTCATTTGTCGAGCCGGGTCCGTCTGTGAGAATCCCGGTGCCCGAAACCGGGCGAAAACGCCCGCTGCGAAAATATTGCACCGGCAAGATCTGAGGGAACAGGCGGTCATCCCCTGTGACTGTGGGCACGCTGCGCCCGTGGGCACCACAGCCCTTGTGAACAACAATGCCCCCCCCCCATCCCCCGTCCCCCATCCCTCATAGGCAGGCGAACGACGATGTAGGCAACGGCGATGTAGGTTTCGGTAGTGTGGGAGCGCGTAGCTCGCGCTTTCCTACACATCGCTGTCTCGTGCTCGCTCGATCCATTCGCAGATTGAAACACGTAGGAAAGTGTGGTTCGCGATTCTTTTGCAGTGTGGTTGCCAACATCACCGTTCAGCAACCTCGCCGTCAGCCCTGCCTTGGATCCCGAACAGGCGGGCGCCAGGGCGGGCCCGGGGCGGCTGCCCGCCGCGAGGGCCGGAGCCCTGCGCCCCTCCACGCGGAACGACGAGAAGAAGGCCCGGAAGACGGCGCTGAGGCCGGTGGGACGAAGCGTGGGCTTGGGCCTCCCAAGCCCAGACATCATGGCACCGGGAGAAAAATCACGGCGGACAGTTTTTCCCCATCTTCTGCCTCTGGGGGCCCTCGCTGGGCCCTGGGCCCAGGGAAAGGGTCGGGACGTCTGGGGGGCTGTCTGTGGGCAACCAGACGCCTTGCCACCTGGGCTCGAGGTTGGTTCGGCGCGCCCTAGATGGTCAAAGAACAACACCCCCGAGGATTGCTGTTTTGCGCCGTTTTTGTTAGCCCTCACCGGTAAGCTCACCGGGCTCAGTGCCTTCAAAAAACAGGAGTCCGGATGAAAAGCCGTTCCCGGGGAAGGGGCCTAGACCTCCAGGGACTCCAGGAGGTCCACGTGTTGAGAGAAGACGACGTCGAAAGAATCGGGGGGCTCGAGGTTCGAAACAGCAGTCCCTGTTCGTCTGGAGCAGGACTCGCTGGCAGTGTCGCCGCGGACGTTGCCCGCTTGAGACACATCAGAAAAAGGTCTGCCCAACAGCGACTGCTCTCGGTTTTGGACAACATGTGGGCGATGTAGAAAAACGGGATCGACTGCGCTGGCATTCGCGCGCACTCTTCCTTCCGAAGGGTCGTGCGTAAACGTTCGCTTCTCCACGCGGTGTGCCATGCAGGCAGCCCGCGTAAGCCGCGGCGTAAGGTCGCCATGCCATATTCCGTAAAACCCGTTTCCCATTTCTTTTCGTCGTTCATGTGTTGCTCTGGGGCATCGTGTTCGTTTTTCCGTACCCATCTCGGGCGTGTTCATTCGAGCGTCGGTTGTTGCCCAGCGTTGGTTTTCTCCCAGGACGGCCCCAGTTTGTCCAGGGAGGCCCAGGTGGCCTCCAGAGGCATCTCTCTCGAGGCCCAGCGGGCCCCAGGGGCTCCAAAATGGCGCGGCGGGAAGCTTGGGGTACCCTGGGCCAGGGTCCAGGATCACTTCCAGCAGCCCCGGACGACGGTCAAGGCTTCTGGACGCTCCTTGGCTTTGGGAGGAGGGGCCTCTGGAGGCATCCGGGGCCCTACACGATAACACCGCCACCGAGATCGGGGGCAGCCTCTACCGAAGGAAGATGAGCCCCGATCTGGGTGATAGGCCACCACAAGGGGTTTGAATATGTCCACCAACGCCAAGATAGTGGATCAGCCTCCTTCGATGGCAGTGCCCTCATCTTGATTGAATTGTCAACGTGCAGGCCTCACACCGGTATATCTAGGCAAGCAGGGGGCGGCAACAGCGACTACACCAACAGATACAGCAAATCCAGAATCCTTCATCAAGTACATGGTGAACACTTGACCCTCAGGCCCAAATGCACCAAGATCCGCACTCGACAGTTACCGCTTCCACATTGCTTAATATGAGATACATATGCGCTAGCCGTCTGTCAAATCGTCCACAGTTCAACACATTGCTGGAGCATTGAGCCACTGTTTCGAGTCGAGTGCCGAACTAATGCCATGTCATGCCATGGCGATTTACGGTGGAGGCAGTGGGCGTCAAATGGCTGGTTTCCGATACCAACATCCACCAAGATTCAGTGCTTGAGGACACGAAATTGTAGGCCGAGTTGCAACCATCCAAAATCTATCTCCGTCCATGTCATTGATTTGTTCCAAAGCATTCCAGATCCAACTTCCCTGCTGACGTATATGTAGCAAATTCACGCTTGACCCATAATGGCACAATTATTCCCAGTCCAGGGCCCAGGACGGACTCGGCCACGGCTGGTGACGGTGCACTCAGACATCCGACATCTTACTGTTTTGAATGCGGGGGCTCAGGAGCTCTCGACACCCTCGCGGGGCCTGGACGTTCGGTCCCGATAGTAGGTTTCAGTAACCCAGTGCCCGAAGACGGCCCGCGGATGCTGCAAAGTATCAGGAAGTTGGATACGCATGGCGCGGCTGGCCTGGGCGAGCTGGCCGCACATGTGGCCAGATGCCTTTCCAGCGCTCGGCCCGTCTGTGGCCACGTACGCTGGATCCCCGCATGTGTATTCAGCGCGTGGTCCCCGGATGACCCACATGTGAATTCAGCCATGTGAATCCGTAGGTTTGGGCAGAGCGGCCGATCTCCGAGACGGGGCAGGCTCTCGATGACGAGTCGGTCCGGGCCTTGCGCTGCCCTCCTCCAGCCCTCTGGCCCGGAGCCCTCTGCGGAGTGGTGATCCCAAGGAGCGAAATTTGGCCCCAGCTCCTCAGTCGGGGACTGCAGCTAAGAGGGGGATCGAGGTTCAGATCGAGTTGGTTGGGGACGTTCTCAGTTTTTCGTGGGTCACTGGCGGCTCCGATGGAGACCTGAAGAAACCCTGGGGGAGGGGAGGCAAGATGAGCGGGGGAAGCAGCGCGACCACAAGACTCAGCGCTGGACCCGTGCCATTCTCGGGAGCGGCGGCGGCGCGAGCGCGGGCGCTCGTGGCAGAATGCCGCCGACGGCTTCGGGGGGCTCTGGGAAGCGGAGATCGTCAGAGGCGGAACGGCTCGCGCGGTGGCGAAAGCCACAGCTCAGGCCGTCATGGCTAGAGAACCCAAACAAAGTATAGACAAACATTCCCGGATAGTTCCTTGTGAGAGTTAAAAGGGGTGTTGGAGAAGAAGTTGACAGCACAGGTTAGGCCAGCTTCCTCTCCACGGCTCCCGGGCAGGCATCCTCGCACCGGCTTGCTTGGGCTTGCAGCCTGTTCCAGAAGCGTTTTCCTACCCGTTCCCACTGCGCGTGCCGGAAGCTCTTGCGAAGTTCATTCGAAGCGCTTCCGAGGCTCGTGCGAAGCTCCTACTCTGAAGCTCGCAAGCTCTCCAGGCATCTTTTCAACTGCCCTTGCAAGCGTCTCCGATAAGCTCTCCAGCCCCCCAAGCATGCTTTCAAGCGCCATTGCAAGCGTCGCCCATAAGATTTCACGCGCGTTGGACTGCTCCGCTAACCAGGTTGTGGACACTAGAAATGTGGAGGTTCGCGCGTAATTCTTGGCTCCCTTTGGACCTCCCTTCCATTGCTCTTTCCTTAGCGCGCGGGACGCTCCAGGGGCGGCGCTGGAGGCGCCGCCAGGGCTGTGGGGAAGGGCCCAGCGCTGGCCCAAGAAATCCGCACAGACGTTCCGAATTCGGGGGTTCGCAGAGGGGGGTGATCCCAAGGTGGGATCAGGGAGCGAACCCAGCTGGATGCTCACGTGTCCTTCTTCCAGGCGCCGTTCAGAGCCATGTTCCTCCCAACCCCACCTCCTGCCCCTACCCCACCTTTACGGCCCCCCGACGAATGTTTAGTTATATTCATGTCGTCGTGCGGCATGCCGAGGGCAGGAGCGTGCCGTATATGTACCCGCCGGCAGCAGGAGTGTGCCGCCCGCCGACGCCAGCAGCCAGCCCGGCAGCAGCAAGCCCTCCGCCGTTGGCGGGCAGCCGCCCTTCGATGTTGGCCAGGCTGCCGAGGCGGTCGAGGAGGACACTCACAAAAACAATCCTCCATCAACAGCAGTGATTAGGGCCGTCCGGGGGTCTGACATGGCCCAGCACTGGTTCCGGCCAGCAGGAAAGGCGGGCAGGTTCGAGGCTCTGGGTTCGGAAAGCTTTTTGTTGCTTAATTCGGTTTCCCGTGGCCGTTTTCGAGCCCCGGGGCCGTCAGAAACGGATCCGGGGCGAAAAAATATACCAGATGGACCTCGGGAGGGGTCCGGGGACCCATTTGGAGCGAATTTGGCTTCATCCCCCCCCCCTCACGACCGATGTTCTGGTGTCACAACCAGTGCAGACCCCCTGGCCGCCTCCAAAACAATGATACAGTCGAGCATATGACTACGAAACATCCTCCCGGAAAGCTTGGCCAGCGAGTCTTTCCCAATTTGCCGGATGGCTGGCCCAGTTTCGTGAGCACGATCGCCCCATCCAGCGTTATCAACAGAAGTTGGCCCAGGTTTGTTTAAAGACAATTCTGGAAAATTGGCCCTGATGTACTACATGCGAGTATGTTTAATTTTAGGGTCCGTTATAGTAAGATGTTTCGTTCTTCGTTGCTCGCATGTCGTCCAGCACGTATGCCCCAAACCAAGCCATCGTCTTCCGCCTTCTCCGTTCATGAGCGTGCCCCCGTAATTGTTCATACCGGTTCATAGGTAAACCCCGACAGGGTAACATAACTCCCTTGGGCTGGCGGACCCTGACGGGCTGGCTAGACGGGTGGATAATAACAGGCGGGTCGAGCAGGCGGGCACTAACGAGCGGGACGAGCGGGCGGAGCATTCGAGCGGGCGGGCTTCCAAGCATGGGAACGGGCGGACCTTACCTGGCGGGTCGGTCGGGCAGGACATTGAAGCGGGCGGGTCGGAGTCAGGGTCTGACGGGCGGGCGGGCGGACCCTAACGGGCGGGCGGGCCGGGCGGGGGAGACATTAAAGGGCGATGTTTGGATAAATCTTGGGAAGGTGCTGGGCGAGAGCGCGATTCCGAAGCATTTTGTGAGGAGCTATCGGGCGCTGGTGTTCTTGAATAACGAGAGAGCGAGAGCTATAGGTTTGGCCCGGTACTACCGCGGACTCGGAGTAAGCGACAGGACGCTCTACGACGCGGTTGGCATACACTTCGATCCGCGCTGCCTTCAACGCAGGATTGTCTCCGCGATGCGTGCCTGGACCACAAGGCGCTCGGAAGCACCGGCCTACACCCCCGCCCCGACGGGCAGCCAGATAACGCGTGCATGGACCGCAGCACGGGCGTACGCAGGAAGACAATGCCCGTGGGCGCAGCTCAGAAACCACCCCTTCCCAGACGACATCGCGGAACAGCTCCAGCGCGAAGAAGCCCTCCTGTCCGAGCTAGCGAGCCCCTAGATTCGGCCGAGGGTCCCAGCACGCTCCACCGAGCGCTGGGGTCCCCCCCCCCGCCACGCCCTGGTGCCGGGGACACGCAAACACGCCTGGGTGCAGGCACGACGCGCGCTCAACAGGGCACTTGAAGCCCTATGCCAGCACAAGGTTCGCGGACCGAGGAGCCTTTGGTCTCTCTTACACACCGACCCCTGGAGGCAGCCCACATGGGACACCATGTGCGGTAGCCTCACCCTAGATGACGTCATACGAGCCTTTGACGCCACCCCCCCTAACAGCCTGCCCAGGATCAGCTGCTGGAGCGTAAGATACCTCAGAAGCTGCACCGCCGCAAAAAAACAGATTAAGCACGCGCTGCTGACCCAGGTCACGATGAATAATAAGATCGCCCTGATCCAAGAGACGCACTGGTCTGAGCATGAAGCTGAGGTTTGGAGAACTATGTTTCCAGCGAGGACTCTTGTGGCCTCCCCCGGGTACCTCGGGCCGACTGGAGGACTCGCCGGAGGTGTCGGCATTCTCCTCCCCCACGGTATTCCCCTCCTGGAGCAACAGATCCTGGTCCCAGGCTGCGCCATTGCCGCGATTGTCCAGCAACGCGAAAAGAGAGTTCGATTGGTGTCAGTGTACCTCCCTCCTACCAGAAAGGAGGACACCCTTGCAGGAATCGCCATAGCGGCGGAGCATTGGGAGCCGCTCGACGCATACTGGGGCGGGGACGTCAACATGCAGCTCGAACACCCAAGAGACGGGGAGGTGGAGGCCGCAGCCTTCCTGAGGGACGTTATTACCAGCTCCGGTTCAGCCGCCATACACATGCCCGATCCTACCAGAATCGACAAGGAGAGCGAATCGCAGATCGACATGTTTGCATGCCCAGTCCAGCAGATCCACGCATACGAGCCCCGTAAACTGTGGAGACTCACGCTGTCGGACCACGCCCTCATTTCATTCGAACCGCAAGGTGCGAGGAGGGCCAGAAGGGATGATACCATGAAGGCTGCAGACCTCAGGAATCTCCCCACCGCTGCGCACGCGGAGCTTCGTCAGCTCTACGCCCACCTAGAGCTCTCCTTCGGTGTCCCGCCTGTCAGCCTATGCGGCCTCCAACCGATCGATTGGGTCAGACCAGCTTGCCGGGGTGGGTTCCCTGACCGGCACCTCGACAACGACGACGGCGCCACCTCTCTCGACAACCCCCCCAGTGCGCAACCGAGCACCGTAGGGGGACCAGTTGGCGGTAACCCCACCCCGCCTGTCCCCCCTACCCTCGTGAGATTCGGCAGGCACGACATCTCCTCAGCGCTGCTGGACTGGTGGAAAAATGGAAACACGCACAGGGCGCGGGCCTCTCCAGGCCTCCTGCTCGCAGCAGCTAGTCAGAAGAGGGAGACGACACGCCCTGTGGGAACACTGGCGGCTTGGCTTCACGAGTATGGCTGGGGTGGGCAAGACCTCACCCCAGACCAGGCTGGCCGGTGGCTCAGAACGTGGGACGCCGATGTCACGCAGAGAGGAGCAGCGCGCCTGCCCCCATCACAAAGAGGTCCTGGGGCGGAGCGCCCACCGCTGGCAGCCCACTACAGGACAGGGCGGGAGATATACAAGAAAACCCACGCCATCCTAGGCGTGCGCGACCACAACGGCATGCGGCACGACAGGCCCAACCATATCAACAACGCTCTCTGGGACAGCCGCAGCGCGATATGGCATTATGCCCCTCCTCTCCCCGGCACCGCCAAGAGACTACTTGACCTTTACTTCCAGCGACACCCCGGTATCGAGGTCACAGACAGGCCCAGACCAAGTTGGGCAAGATTAGCTGCCCTCGTCCTCACCCCTGGTGGGAGCGCCCCAGTGGTGGACGGTGTGCTGTACGAAGCATATAATCCCGGGGCTAGGTTCGTCGCCTGCCTCATCGCTCAGGCGTGGCACGCCGCTGACCTCAACCCGTCACTCATCGAGGAGGTGCTAGGGCCCTCTGTCGACCTGCTAGTGTGGATCGGGAAGAAGCCCAGTGCCGAAGCCCCCAACGGCATGAGACCGCTGCAGCTGCCCACCTGCACTCGACGGCTGTATGGCGCCTCCCTGGCTGACCTAATAGGCCCGGCTGTCGAACCGCTCCTCAACCCCAACCAGGCTGCCAAGCGAGGAGGACAATGCGGCCCCAACATCGCAAAGGTGACCCTGCATCTGGGCTCTCCCCCCCCATCTGAACCGGGCCCTGCCTGGGCCGCACTCCTGGGCCGGCACACCGCCGCCGTCGAGGCGTTTGTCAACCGCGCCGCTACCGCGCTAGGTGGCGCCCCTGGCACGGCTGTCATCTCCTGCGACCAAAATAACGCCTTCGAGAGAATATCACTTCAATGGGTGGACAGTCTCCTTCGTAGATGGAAGCTCCCTTCGTGGTTGCTACAAACCCTCAACTCACAGGTCGCCGAGCGAAGGGTACAGATATGCAGGGACAAGTACAGAGGTCCCGAGCGGCGCTTGCTGAGGTCGGTTGGGATGGGTGGCGCAGCCTCCCCGCTCCTCTGGAGCATGGGGTACGACCCCTCATCTCTGCGATCTCCTCCATTACAGGTGACGATGATCCCACCTACGTCGACGACCTCGCCGCTCTACTCAGCACAACGAAGCAGGCGCTACGTGCGGCCATCGCCCTCCCCTGGGCTGCCAAGGCTGCCGGTCTCCTGGTCGAGGCCCACCGCTGCAGAGGAATCCGCGCCGAGGACTCCGCAGCGCTCAGAGCCGCGCTGGAAGAGGCACCCGTCTATTACGAACAGGACGGTGACAACGTGCTTATTTCTGGGCCCCCCAGCGAGCTCATCCAGGCACTCGTGGTAAGCAGCACAGGGCAGGGCCGACCCAACTGGTGCACCTCCTACTAACGCACCTGCAGCTGCGCTTTCAAGACAGCCCTCGTCCCAGCCGGCAATCACGAGTGGTGGCGAGCCCTCATGGAGCACACTCCTTTCAAAGGGTCCGCAGTGCGGGACCAGTGGCCCTACCTGGGGGCAGTAGTTGTTACCCGCGCCGCGGAAGGCGATGAGCCTCCCCTGAACGGAGGACTCACCAAAGGGCAGGAAGACGCCCTATGCAAAGGCACATGGGACCGTCCCCTTCCAAAAACCAGAGAAAAAGCCATGGCTCTGCACCTGGCAAAGATGTCCCCCTCGCGCACGGCCGCCACCTGGAATGCATACCTTGTCTCACTGGCGCCGTACGCTGCCCACTACGCCCTCCCCGACGTCGTGCATGAGCGCGAACTACGTGCCCAACTAAGGACTGCTCTTGGTCTGGCTGGGTCCTCCTGGGTCCCCGACTTCGTCCTCACGGGAGTGGGCATGCGCTTCCAGGTACAGGGCGCCCCCAGGTGCCCGGTCGCGACTGCCCGCGCGGTCGCTGCCAGAGCACACGCACTTAACGATTTCTGGGGACCCATTCCTGTCAGGAAGCGCGCCAGGAACAGGTGGAACAAGTTGCTGAGATGGGCAAGACTGGCAGCTCAGGTGCCCGAGGCGTTCCCCCCCAGACCCCACATGATCTCCGAACGGAAAGCTGCTCGGGCCCTGCAGCGCGCTAATCAGCAACCCGACCTCCTTGAAGGCAAACATTTTGG